TTAGACTATAGCTCATATGTGAAAGAGGTAGGGTTTCATTCCTTAAGCCCTAGACCCTAGTTGAGGGCTTGAGCCTTGGGATTCCAGTTTTGAAGGAGTCACATTTGTTTACGGTTTACTGGGTTGCTGTCAAGGAACTTAAGTTAAGTGAGCATTTTAAGGAAACCCCATTATGCAGTACTTTAAGTAATTTCATTAGCAGCAAGCCAGTTAAGGGTTGAGGGTCTTAACTCTCTGTGACCGTTCTATGAGGGTTCGTGAGCTTTGCTCACGTCAAAGTTCTTTAAACCTTGAGCATTTACAGTGCCAGGCACTTCTGTGAGTTCCGAAAAGCCCTACAAAATACAGCGATCAAGAAGATGCCTAATTGAGGCTTTGGTTTGTTGAAGGCATTGCCAGGGCCAATCAACATCAATAATGTGTAGGTAGACGTTCCGCTTATTGGGCCACGAAGTGCAAGGCCCTCAGCTGGGTAATTAACTGTGGGATATGATGCCGAATTTTTGCTATACCAAAGCCAGTAAAGGAGTGTAAGCCCATGACACTAAAATAACTCCATGAGGAACCAGTTACACAGGACCAACAGTTTAAACACGCCAATAGCCCGCCACAACTGGCTCTTGCGCTGAAGTCGCGAAGTCGCACAGAAGCTCAACTTGGGGATTGGGGGACCCTGGAAAGAATCATAAGATGATTTCTTCAGGGTTGAGGTTATGGTCTCTAGGGCTCACATAGGCATGATCTCGGGGTTGTTTTGAGGAAAGCCATTTGTTAAGTAGATGGTCTTTTTTCAGACCTTGACTCGTTCAGAGTGCCTCCCTGAACCCTACACTCTCCCAAGATAACATGAGCTATAGTCTGAACTTCTTAAAGGGGCTATATAGGGATTATACAGGGCTGCTGTTCTAGGGCTTGTTTAGCGGGATACTAGGAGGTTAGACTATGGTTCACATGAAGCCCAAAAAGGCCGTACAAAGACTACTGTCCCAAAGCAGGTTGTATTGCTTTTATGTTTGTTCGATTAAACCTGAGCCGTGTGGGTCATATCCCATGGTCTCTAATGTCAAAGTATAGATTTAAAAAGAAAAAAACGCTATTGTTTCGTAGTATGCTTACCTAGCCCCTACTACTCCTTGAAAACCACTGTAATCCGCCACGTCACATTCCATTTGCCACTTGCTTTTCCACCACTGGGCGGGTAATATCTCAAGCCGCGAACCCTAAACCTCAAACCCCATGTATCTTGTTACCCCTGTGTATTCCCCACAACCCCACTCAAAGGACGCCTAACCTATTCATTTGTGTAACCCTGTGTAAAACCTGCTAGCGTGTAGGTCTTTGGCCAAGCTTCTCCTGCCCTTGGATCCGGAGAAGGCAGAAGCTAGGCTTCGTTGGAACATGGGGGGATAGCACCTATGCACATACAGTGTTTTCATTTGTATGTACATATACATATAAACTTATAAGTATGTCTATGTGATTGTTCATATTTGTGTATACGACACTGGAGCAGTTTTGAGGAGCTACTGTTAAGGGCTTAGGGCTTCCCGTTTGGGCCTCAAGCTTCCGGAGTCCCTTAGCCTCACGTTTTGAGTCTGCGGAAGGGAGACGGTCTCCAAACCCTAGGGTTTAGGATGTAGGGGGGGTAGTCAACCACTTCGCACAGTCTGCTGTAGGCACGTCCTCCAAATAACCCAAGCCAGGGAAGTCTCTCTGCTGAGGAGTATTCTTTGAACCATCTTAGGGACGCCAGTATCATCTAAGGTATATTCCTCAAAGTAAGGAGTCATTTGCAGCGGATTCCTGGGTACAGCCGCAGCCCTAAACCTGCATTCCCTAAACCCTAAACCCTAAACCAAGGAGAAGATTGCTGTGGTCGTGGATGGCTCAGCTTAGTCCGCAGAGGGCCTTCTCAAGTCAGGGTGTCTTTAGGGGATACTTTATGGCCTAAGTATGTCCTACTGTTGATACTAAAAGCCTTGTATGGCCTTACTATACTACAGTGCCAACAGTTCCCAGGAGGTAGAAGTTCAAAAACAATGAAGGACAGGGTACTTGAGGAACCATCAACCCTAAACTCTACACCCCAAACCCTGAACCCAAACCGCATTTCCTCTTCACCAAGCATTCAGTCTCAACCCTAAACCCTAAACCCTTTCGCAGATCGGCAGGTGGTCAGGGCTCTGAAGTTAATGGCTGGTAATGGCCTTCCCTTTAAAAGGGGACATAAGCACTATATAGGGGATAGAGGAGTTACATTGGGATGAACGGAGTGGAGGGTTTGATTACGGGGGTTGCTGTCTTTACGAAGGACGATGCCATAATGCACTGGGAATTGCAGTGTTATGGGGGGTCCTAGGTCTGCACTCTGGGTGACATACATCGCCGTCTGACCTTCATGGCCTATCTGCCCTACAGCCGACCTTCCTCCCACACCGCTTACGTTGGTCCTGCATCCTACAAAGAATGGCTACAAATCCGGAATCACGGGGAGTGCTGAAGTGAAAACAGATTCTAGCATATGGGTATACATGGGGAGGTAAGAGTGAACGTTCATGGGATCCACACGTCCACTTCCCTTGGGGCACTAGTAAGGAACTCTCGGACAAAACCTGGACGTTTGAGTGCAAGATGCTGGCTCTCAAAGAGCTCAGCTTTGAGAATCCTCAGCTCCAAGACGGCTGCTAAACCCTAAGCCCCACAACCTGAAACCCTAAACCTAACTTTGGGGTTTAGGGTTTAGGGTTCAGGTCAGGGCCTGGCTGCTTATAGGCTGCGGCTTTGTCTCGAAGGACATAGGCGCATCCCCTGGCACTATCAACTTTAACCATAAGTATAGAACACCGTCTACTATAGTATGTTATCTAGGTTCATATAAGGGCATGGAAGAGAAAATGGGAACTACCGTATTCCGGGGTTTCCTTACCACCCCTCGTTACACAGCACCCTTTGGCCGGAATTAGCCTTCATTACCCCGACATAAACCTAACCAAGAGGGAACCCAAGGGGTGGTGGCAAAGGGCGAGGTGGTACGTAAGCCCATCCTTGTCTGAGGGTTTAGGGTTTAGGATTGTAGTACCCAACTCCCTTTCTTCCCGTTTTAGCCCACGAGCTCTTTTGAAAGACTTCCCCTTCCAAAGTGGTCGTGATCTCTTCCTCTTCATGACCCCATTGTAAACTTATTGCAACCCTTTTACAAGTAGTTACTCTAACCCCCCTAGTAACCCTAGGGTCCCACTCGAAACCTAAATCCTAAACCCCTAAACTGCTATATAGGGACATGGACCCTTTTAATTTAGGGCTCAGGGCCACAGACGCCCAGGCAACCGGTCTCATGGAGAGCCTTGGCATGAGGGAGGTCGAGGAATGCCGAGCTGTGAAGGTTCCTTTTCCTGCCTGTGTGAACTTCTTGGTAAGGGCTTAGAGCTTAAACTTTCGGGTTTAAGGTTTAGGGGTGAGGGAATCAATGTAGGTAGCGATATTGGTGCTTAAGGGGAATGAGGGAATGAACGTAGATAGTGATAAATGTGCTGCAAAAGGGGGGAATGCGTGTAGGTCGTGACAAAGAGCCTTTGGGTAATCTAGAATAGGGACAGCCAGAGAGATGCAATGACGCTTCTCTTGATGCGAAGCGCTGCTGGAGTGATAGTGATGAAGCCCGTTGTCGTGCGCAACGGTATGGTGGTGAGAGAGCACTACCTTGCTGACACCAAAGCACTGGGAACGCTGTCACCGTCCGCAGTGCCTTGGGCAAGATGTCCAAAAATGACATGAGCCATAATCTAAACTCTCGAAGAGAGGTTATATAAGGGATTAGAAAAAGGGAGTACTATAGGGGTTATCAAGGAAAGGGCCATTGCTTGCCATGAAGACACATTTCACACTGTCAGTGAGAGGACAAGGTGCACAGTGAAGCGGAAACTTGCGAAAGGGTGGCATAGTTGAATGGAAGCCCCTGTGGCATGCGCACACTGCCCAATAAGCACACTAATTAGTAAGTAAAGCAGTGCTTTACAGTTGAGGGCTGAGGCGAAAGATGCAAAGTTCAGGGTAGGTTACTTTGTAGCCTAGGTTCCACAATTTGGATCCTTCTGAAAGTAGGATTGTAGGAGTGACCGCCATGGTAGGATCGATCGCTTCAGTTGTCCCAACTCTAACTAACGCGGCCTCACCAAAAATTGCGGTTATTGCAAAAGTTGCCGAGTATGATTGGTCTGCTGTTGCTACTATATGAACCTGACAGGTTAAGCCGTGAACTCTGCAGAACCCCCCCTCTCCAAATCTCACAAAGCCACAACCCAACCCTACGTAAACCCAAAACCCTACACAAACGTGCAGATTTGTCCATGTGGCAGTGCTTGTTCCGGTAACAGAGTTCAGGAACGTGAGGAGTGTCTTTTCTGGGTGCTGTACCCGCTCGGCTTCGGCATTCGTCTAACTTCGGGCAGGCGAAACCCAAATACCCTCCCCAAATACAGAGCCCCAACCCCTAAACCCTACGTAAACCCAAAACCCTATACAAACCCTAAACCCAAACCAACCAAAGATCCAGCAAACTTAGCCTCAATCTTTGCAGGCTCGCTGCGAGCATGCCAAGGCGGCCTCCGAGGTCGAGGCTACGATTTGGAAGCGGAAGGACTTCTTACACGTGCCGGAGCCTTAGGGTTTAGGGTTTAAGGTTAGGGTTTAGGGTCAGAGGGACTTCTTATACATGCCGGAGCCTTAGGGTCAAAGGGATTAGCCTTAGGGTTACATAGAGCTATTTAGGGTTATATAGTCAGAGTGGACAAGAAACTGGATGCTACCACATCATTTAGGGTTTAGGGTCAGGGAGCCATTTTGCACGTGCGGGGGGTGGGGGGTTTGTACCGAAACAGGCACCGGAGCATTAGAGTCAGGGAGCCCAAAGGCATGTGTCTTACATCACGTTATCTTTGGTAAAAGCTTTTTCTTCTAGAAAGGCTAAGAAACGATGAACGGATCAATACTTGTATTACAGTTCTAAGCTAAGGGGCATTGCAGTAGTACGGATAGTATTAGTATACTTGAAGGTATTTTCCTTAATCTCTACATGTTCTATATGTGCCCGAGCCTTTGCTTTCTGGTGCGTAAAGGGGAGTGAAAGAGAATGGATCCCTGTCATAATGTTTATGTGGGCCCCTGTACCTATGTGCACGTGCCGGAGCTTTCGCCCGAACCCGAAACCCTAAACGCCAAACAGATCCAAAAGTGATGCTGAAGGAGGAGTGGGGAAGGGAGTGCACGGACCATATAGGCGTGTATAGGCGATTGTGTAGTGTTCCTCTTTGAATTCCCCTACACAAGCATGAAACCCTAAAAGGGCCCTATAAAATCTCATTCTGTGGACAATGTCTGTATGAAATTCGATGTTAGTCTTGGGCAGCTGTAGGGTGTCCTGGGTTTGGGGCTTCGCATTTCAGAGATGTAGAGTTATTTGTTGGTTTCGGGGAGCTGTACAGTAGGGTGTATTTGGGTTTAGGGCTTCACATTTCAGGGATGTAGAGCTTAGAGCTTATTGGGGCTTAGAATGCAAAAAGAGGGTACTTGGGTCGCGGTTCATTGGGGCTCAGGGTTTAGAGGCTTAGTGTTTTAGGGTGCCTAGGGTTGACGGGTTTAGGAGTTTAGGGTCTATTGGGGTCAGCTGTTTCAGCTCAGGCACGATTGATGCTCGGGTTCAGTTTTGGTTTTCTTGCGTCCGCAGTAGTTAGGGTAGGAGCGCTGCACGTGGGACTGCTGGCCCCGAAAAGCATGACGGGTTTGGGCTAGGTTGCCTCCGCCCACAGTAGGATTAAAAACGAGTGCAAAGCATGAGTGGTAATCTGGTAGTAGTACGGACGGGAACGGCACAAGGGGATTGCCAGGTGTGGATTTGCAGCTGGGATGCAGGTGAATGAGCGGGGGCTTTCTGCATGTGGTCAGCTGTGGTATTAACTAGTTTGGGCGCTTGAACGGTTCGGTGTTACCACTTGGGTACAAGAGAACTACCTTGGGATTCCTGGCATTCTTACTGTTGATACGAAAATCCTGGATGACCTTACTATGCCTTGACACCATCGTTGCCAAGGTTTATGGTACTTGGGGTCATGCAGGAGTTCTAGTATCCACCGTAGTAATAACAATTTGCCCACTCACGCATGCCCCGCCACGCTTTGGGCTATGGCTGGTAAGAGTGTTAGACAATATTCCATGTGGTTTGCTAGGTTTTGTATCAGATTTGAGACGGGCCCTCTTCCCTTCAATTTCAGCCGGTCTCTTGCGTCTTGGTCCATTGTACCCGGCCCTTGTTTTTTCAAAAGTTTCCAGGCCTGCGTGGCTCCATTGTGTTTATACAGGGTTTGGGGTTTAGGGTTTGGGGTCTAGGAATGTCTTGGGCTGCTCCAGGTGTTGATTTGGGCATGTGCCTCAGGCTTTCAGGGCTGTTACAGGGTGATTTTGCTCATTGTTCCACGTCGGGAAACAAACCGCTCATAGGGTCGGTCTTGGCATAGGAGCTGCCATGCCCATTCCTTACAAAAAGGAGGAAGATGATGGGATCCCACAAGCTCTAAACCCTAAGCACTAAACCTTAGCCTTCAAATTAGGAGTCGGCGATGTCTGACACACTGCCCCTGCACCCCCAATAACTCTACCAAGCGTGCCCATACAAACCCTACATAGTCCCCAACGATTCCTCCCATCCCAACATCCCTCCGGTCCCTACAAGTTCCGTTATCCCTCCATCCCTAATCCTAGGCCCTGTACCTCCTTCCCTTGACCCTCAACCCTACCACCTCTTTTGATCCCTAGGCCAAGATCGCTCATCGTCGACCCCGGTGGCCGCTGATGGCTTAGCTTAGGGTTGGGCTCAAGGCCCAGGGGTCAGGTAATACGAGGATCCCTTTTAAGGCGTTATGTCGAGAATATGGTAGTTTCCAAATGAAATGGGGGTGCCCAAACGTAGACCCCAATATACTGTGGACCATCTCTAGGGACCCCCCAAGAGGTGGTAAAGAGGTACCCCTAGTTCGGGGCCTGGGGTATTCCAAATGATGCAGAATGAAATACCAGTCAAACTGGGGTTTGTGAGGATGTACCCTACAAGAGCCATGTGTTAGTCACGAGGGCTAGGATAACCAGCAATCCTTCACTATCAGGGATTAGGGTTTGCGCGTTTTTGGCGAATGTGCCAGATGCGGGGACCCTTTGCTTACCACGGCAGTAGAGCTTTTTTGGAGTTCCGGGTTACTTTGGGGGAGTGCCAGTGTTGTTTCCTTGCACGTTGAGTCCCCAAAAGTTCAACTGAGTACTGTGTCGTTGGGTTCGTGGGACACAAAGCCCAGGCTCGAAGATCCTAAGGTTGTGGGATGAAACATAGCTAGCACGGCATTTCCCCAAGTGGAGCTAACAGAGGCTGCATGTTGGCTACTGCCCAGAGCCTGTGACAGTGAGATATGGGACGCTGCTTAAGTCATGGTCTTAACTATTCTTACAATATTGGAGGACAGTTGGGGCTTAGGATTTAGGCTGGGGCCAGTATATCCAAATTCTATCCATGACAATCCTCAACCCTCATGAGAAACGCCTGTCACCTGACTTGATCCGCCTTAATCCGGGCATACTAATGCAAGAGAAACGTGGAGGCTCAGGGCACGTATGACCCAAGTTCAAGTGCAGCTATACCCAGTCATCACCACAACAAGGGTTGCGTGGTGTTTAAGGGGACCTACAACTTAGGTAAAAAGTACCAAGTACCACGGTACATAGTAGGTTATAGGTACCGTGAACCTCCAAGTAATGAAAATGTTGAATGTCAGGGGAAGGGTGTGTGGCACATTCTGGGAAGGGATCAGCTAAAAAAGAGCTTGGTGAGGAGGCTCTAGCCCAAACTCACTGCTTGCATCCAGCTAAGTGTAGGGCCTGTGATGAGCTGCAGGGAGCTTCTCGGTAAGCACAGGCGACTGTACAATTGGGGTTTAGGGTTTAGGTTCCCTAAACCCTAAACCCTAAAGCTTAACTCCCACCAAAGAATCTGCAAGAGCACCGCAAGTTCATACACCTGGTGCTACCTGGGCACCGCCTTCACCAAGCAAGTACCATGATAAAAAGTTTAGGGATTAGGGCTTAGGGTTTAGGGTAAACCCTGAGTCATGAAAGTGTGAAGCCTCTCTCTTTCATTCCCTGCGCCTCTTGCGTCTGTCTTCACTTGAAGCTTCTAGGCAACTGTCTCAAGGTAATAGTAATAGCAATAGTAATACTAATAGTAATAGTAACAGTAATAGTAATTGTAATTGCAACAGTGATAATAGTAGTAATAGTAATAGTAATAGTACTAGTAATAGTAACAGTAATAGTAATAGTATTAGCAATAGTAATACAAATGGTGATAATACTAGTAATAGTACTAGTATTTGTTAAGGTTTAAGGTTAAAGGCTGCTCGCAGCTCATGTGATTCTGAACGAGTGCCTGCGACATATCAGATCCATGCCTTGCATCCAAGCAACAGACAGTTCTAAGGGTTTTCCATAACTATTTGAGGCTTAGGGTTTAGGGTTTGGGGTTTAGGGTTTAGGGTTCTATCTAGTTTCAAGCAGCCTTAGCATAAGCTCTAGGTGTAGAGGTTGGTTGCGGGTTTTGCTCCAGATCGTAAAAAACATTGCATGTCGTGATGTAGTTGCGTACAATCTGAATAACCAAGTGAGAGAGGCAGAGCCACTCACTGTATGCCCTTGGCCCGCAAAGAGAGAAGCATTGGTTGAGGTGGGAGACTTCAAAATGAATTTGCAGAGTTCGCGAAGGCCGCATGCAATCTGTGGGCTGCAAGCACCGCGGAGAGCCCGGATGCTTTTCTGAAACAACATTCTTGACTATGTAAATGTATTTTCGCATATGCATGTTACATGCATAGTGTTTAGGGTTGAGGATTCGATGCCAGGGGGATATTATCGAACCTGATGTAGGCCAGTTGACCAGGATGTCCCTAGCCCGGATGCAAGGGCACATGCAGTGGGGGTAGGAAATTTTACAGCACGTCAGGAAAACTAGCGACACCTCACGATCTTGAATCAAACTAAAACCCAAACCCTGAATCCTTAATCCTGTGTCCAGTGTAGCATTAGGAATTGCCTCTTGCAGCTTGCGGAGATTGCCTTAGCCTTACCCCCAACTCCTGAACCCTAGATCTGCAACAGATTTCCTGCTAGGAATATTAGAGAAGCAGATAGAAAAGAACGTTGAACATTTCATAGGGATTCGGCTTAGACTTCAATACGTCGGCTGTAAGTATGCAGGTCACCCCTCAAAGGGACCACACTTCGGACATTCCCAATCTTCAGCCCTATTTCCACAGCCCCCGAAACCATACAGTTATCCCAACCCTAAACCCTAAACCCTCAAGAAGGAACCATGCCTCCCTCGCAGCCATTGGTGATGACAGATTTTGCTGGACTCCGCTACTAAACCCTGAGGGCCTTGAACACTAAGCCCCAAGGTTTTCCCTCGATGGGCCTTTTCTGCTTAATCAGATTCAAGGGCGGCAGGGGAATCCATGAGTTTAGGACTGGGACTTAGTGGGGTTTAGGGTTTAGGGAACTGTTCAATGTTTGACCTTCTGGCGTGTGGTTTTGAGTTTAGATCTTGCCTTCTCCCAAACGAACGTCGAAGGCTATGAAACGGATGGCATTCCTTGCTAGCTCAAGGGCAGTGGTCTCAGGGCTTCTCAATCGTTATTTACTTCTTTTGGGTGTCCTTATATCGAGGACTGTACTTCAGGTAAGGGATCTTGGATTTGGAAAGTACCATTCGAGACAATCCCTTCCCCATAACATTTAAAGCTCCACCCGCAGCAATAGATCCGCTATATAATAGCGGATCGCGATGGGTAACTGATTGGAGGTGGGAGTCTTCACCCTAAACACTCAACCATAAACCCTAAAACCCTAAACCCTAACCCGCATTCATATTGCGGGGAGGGGATTAGTAGTCCTTGCCTGTGCAGGCAGCTTAACTGGCCAAAGCGCAGGCGCCTCAGGGCAGGTAGGACGGGCTCTCATCAGGATTAGGAGTTATAGTGTTATTATGCCTCCATTGTTAGCCCAAAAAGGAGGACACAGATAAGTCTTGTAATACATAGCATCCTAAACCCTAAACCCTAAACCTTCAGGTTAAGGGTCCAAGTACCTGAAAAGGATGCATTTGGGGCCCCGATGGATTTTAGGGGTTTGATGCGCTATGACCTCACCCCAAGTGGCCACCGTCAGTTGCAGAAGATCTCCTAGCCACACCGTTTAGGGTTTACGGCAAACAGGCAGACTTCCAACAGCCTGAAAAGGAAAGATGCTCAAGCGAGATGAGAAGAAACCAACGCAACGCCGACAACAATGCTGACACGAGCAGTGGTTGAACACCCAAGGTGAGGTGGGCACGCTTGAATAACAACAGTAGCCATGGTTCAAGGACATCCCACGCGAGTATAGTTTTCAGGGGCTAGCTTTGAAGTGGGCCTCTATAGTTTTGACATGGCCCCAATTCCCCTGTGCGAGCATTAATACGACCCGCAAAAAAGGTTACCCCAGACAACTATCACCTGCAGGCGTCGTGGACTGGGGGGGGCCCCCATCTGTTTCTTGCTGCAGGCTTCCGACAGGAACTGCCATGTCGATTGGTACCTTGGTCTTCCCTTGCGTAGCGGAGAGCAGCACTCTGCGGAGATAGTGCTGCACATGACCTGATTAGAAAGGGCAATTTGCTTTTATAGTGACTTCGTTCTTTTTTGATTGTATTTTTTGGATTTTAAATTGATGAGATTCAGAATTGAACGAATGAATATTTAGCAAATTCTGAATTCATATTGAATAAATAATAAAGGACAGGGATTGAAATTTAATTAATCCAATTTTCTACAAAAAGGAAATTATAGATAATATCTATTCAATGATATTTCAGCATTCTTTTTTAAGAATATTGAACAATAATAATCTGAGTTACGAATAGATGAATTCAATATAAAAAAGGATATTCTATTCTTTATTTTATGGGAGGTCGTTATTCTCGGACGTCTTCCATACGAATATCGGCTTAAATCTAAGGAAGAGATCATATATAAAGATCGTCTAATATCTATATTGAAAATATATGAATATGGGGCGTATGATGCCGAAAAAAAGAAAGATGAGCGAAAATTCATGAAAGATTAATGAAAGATTGGCGACAGAATCGACGTATAATTTTAATAAATTTTGATCTCGATCGATTGGTTTCTTTCTTGATAGGATTATATTTTTTCTTATTATATATTTTTGGAGATTTTATAGATTATAGATCTGCATATTTTTTGTTTTTCAAAAATATATTATAATTTTTTCTGAAGATAAATCTAATAATCTTTGATATAGATATATGATGAATATAATATTATTCTTATTAATAATATCGTCTAATAGATTTAGAAATTGGATTTTATGAGATTTTTTTTACGAAAAATGATAAAGATTAATTATTTATCGATATTTTCTGATTATTATAATTGATTGGATTGATTTTCTTTTTCATGAAATTCCGTCGAAATTTTGATAAAAGAAATCGATATTTTTTTAATTCTCCTCTAATCTATTTCTTGCGGCCGGGCCGGGCTCTAGAGAAATTCTAAAATCTCAGAAATATAGAGATTTTCGGAGAAAAAATAGCGTCTTTAAATATCTCTGAAGATGTTTGGTCGTAAGGCGCTCGATTCCGAAACGATCTTTCATATGATATTTTTCTATTTGGTTGTTTGCGGAGCGAATAGACCCGAGATAGAACATCTTTTTTTATTTTTTTTCCAGAATTTATTGATTGATCGTATTTGATCACACGATTTATTGCGTTCCCCCATAATGCCGCGCAGATAATTTAAGAGAGATAAAAGAGGCGGAAAGCTAATTATCTCCTAAGATTTCGAATTATTTCTTTCTCTCTGGCTATCTACGACGTGACGAGAGCGCGACGGAGATTTAAGGTCTTTCAGAATCTATAATAATTATTATTCATTGGGCTATTTTTACAATCTTATATATTCCGCGTAATTTATTTTTCTTTAATTATCGTCTATACGTGACTGATCGAGAGAATATATAGATCCGGCACGAGAGAATGCATAGATCCGGGATAGAGAATCAAGATCTTTCAGAATTTATATATCTACGATTTTTAATATTATTCCTAATCGTCGTACAGATAGGGATCGGATACGATTGCAACTAATAATTTTCCGATAATTCAAATCATTTTTCTTTCGTTAATTCTCTGCGCGATGAAATGATCGTTTTTTATCATATATAATCTTATATATAGAATATTCATCATTTGTCGATATTTATTCATTGGATTTCTCATTATATATATTCTCAAATCAATTTCAAAAAAGAATAAATTATGATTTAGATAATTATCTTGATATTAAAATCATGAATTTTCATCTATAATATATATCTTATTCCGAATAAGATAGATCTATATATTGATATCAAAATCATGAATTTTCATCTATAATATATCCTATTCTGAATAAGATAGATCTATATATTTCATTTTATGAAGATGTAATCAATCAATTTCTTCTATCTTTCATCATATATAAATATTTTTTCTTATAAAGAATAAATATATAATGATTTTCTATCGACGAATTTATAGAATGATTTTGGAAAATAAGAAATTATTGAAAGATATGAATAATAGAATATTCCTAATAATATAAAAATAGGATTATAGATAATATATTTCTTGAAATTAATCAATTTTATAGATTTATATCATCATATTATTTATCTTCTCTATCTCTCTCTAGAATATTAATTCCAATTCCAATTTCTTCATGAATAGATTATTAGATTGAATCTTCTCTATAATCTCGTCCTCTAATTTCGAAGACAATATGAAATATTAAAGATGAGAATAAAATCGATAAGGATCTAGATGATTTTTGATACATATTTTTGAAATTAAATCGAATGGAATAATAAATAATTATCAATATGGATATTATAATAGTATGTGATCCTAAATAATAAGGGATTCATATGGCGAATTATTAATATTATTAGATTTGAGATTATTTTTTTCAAATATAAAGAAATATCTATAATAGATCTATTTTCTAGGAGATCATTATGATGATCAATTATTCGAGGAGATTCTGGAAAAATAATTTGAGAAATATCTTGGATATTCGTAATCGATTCAATTAATTCGTTAATGAGGAGATGAAGACCTAAGGATTTAAGAATTCTTTTTTAAAATTGAATCAATTAAGGAATAGAAGAGATTTATTTTCATGAATAAAATAGAATTCTCATCCCTCTATAATAAAAAGATAAGAGAATTATAATTATCTTGAGAGAATTTTTATTTCTAAAATTATCATAGATGCAAATAGGATTTCTTGGATTTTAAATTATTCTTCTCCTTATATCTCTATATTGAATATATTAGAAATGAAAATATAAATTTCTGAGGTCTTGGATATCTTTATATTATATTAGAATAGATCCGTTATTTATAGTAGCGGAATATCGATATTGGAATATATTCGTAACGGCACGCGAGCTGATATAGAAGAAAATAATATGATAATTTCAAATCCTATTTTCCTAAAATTTGATATCCCGAATCTTGAATAAATATCGATATTTTGAAATTGATAGCTATCAGGCTAGCAACAATTGAGGGATCTACATATTTGAAGGAGCATTGCCATATCTCAAGGATTTGGATTGGTATCTGAGAAGCTGACGATTTTTTCTCGAACAATCTGATATCATTTAATTCTAACGTCTATTTTATACGTAGCTATATATATTTTCTTCTACGGATCTATGAAATTCTAATTTCAATTTGAATCCTGAATCGTTAATATTTCTATTTCCCTGATAGATAGAATTAGAGATTCTATTTTCGTGATCATTTTATAAGAATCTATTGCTATTCTATCTGAGGCGGAACAAGATTTCTGTCATTGAAATAAATTTATTTCAGGAGGCATCTACTATAATATTATAATAAATGATATGCTTACTAATTACGAATATTTTTATCGTTGATTAAAAACGATTAATCTATAGATTCTGAAAGATAGCAATTCTCTATCTCAGATTTATATATATATTCTGCCGGGACGGACCAAATAATTCCAAAATTCGGGAGATTTTTATTCGTTTAATCCAAATTCTACGGTCCGATCTTTCTATTTCATATATCTCTCTTAGGCCAATTTTTGCGCGGCGGATCGGAGGAGCGCATAAATGCCCGTAGATAGATGCGGTCAATCTATAAATTTAATAGATTTGAAATTATCTTTTCAAATATCAAGAAATAATCATAATATATATATATCTTAGGGTCAATATATCGAGAAAAAATATATATAAAGAGAATCTATAAATAAGAATTTGAGAAATATCTTTGATATTCATAATCAATTATCTCATCTTTTTTCCTTCAGAAATGAAGAATCAATGATTTAAGAATTCCTTAAATTTAAAATATCCATATTATAATATAAGAAATTAATTATCACGAATAACAAAAGTCTTTTGTAAATTGGCATTTAAGTGTATTTTTCGCCTCGATGCTGAGGGCATTAAGACACGCTTATTCCCTCATCAATTGGCCGTTGTAGTTGCGGGCGGTCTCGAGATCCTCGTCCATTCCACGAGAAATTGGATTGCCCAAAATAAAGGAAGGGAAGATATGATCCTATTACAAAAGGATATCAATAATGCCTTCAATATGGTTCTTCCGTCGGTCTTTTTAGAAGAATCTCGACAATATGCCCCTATCTCTTCTCGCTTTGTTACGTGGCATTATGGAACGACTTCCCATTTGGTTTACGAGGGATCTACATATGCCAGTTCAAGAGGGCAATAGGGATGCCCGATGATGATGGCTTTATTTTATCTGGCCCGCAAGCGAAATGCAGAGGAAGCCGCAAGAGCATCCGGAATAACTCTTCCATTCCAACCGGAATAT